AGCTCTGGAGAGTTTCTAAAACATATCTGGTGAGTAAATGAACATATGCTTACTTGTAAAAGGCTTCCTGACTAAAACATATGATTGTTTGTTATTCGTGTATGTTAATTTGGTTATTTTAAACACCGCGGCCCTTTTAAACTGGTTCATTCGTGGCCGTCCATATACCGTTAGTCCATAAACTCGCGTGATAACGTACGCTTGAATTATATTAAGTGTTGACAACCATTAAAGTCGGAATGTTAACATTAATGTCTTTAAATGACCGCGTTTGCACTCAGACATTTAACGTTACAGAAGTCTCCCGGAAGTTGCGGGACTAACGTTAACGTTATCTCGCAAATGCACAGAGATTCCCAGATGCCCAAGTAGATGCCCGCAAATGAATGATAATCTCCCAGAAAACGCGCGTCTCCCGCCCGGTCTTTAAACACTTTGCACACCCCTCTCCACCGCATCCCTCCCAGCTCTTCAGGTACGTCGTGCGCAAGTCACCCACACCGTTCTTAAGGTACGTCGCGCGCAACTCGCCCCACCGCTCTTCAGGTACTCATCTCTCCCGCTACCTCCCGCAAATCAACTCTGTATCCCCCCTCGGGATGTCTGACGTTAGTAAGTTAGGCTATTTCTGTAGTCAGGAACATCTTAGTCAAACTTTTTCTCCCGCATGATATTGTGCTTAAAACTATAGGCTAAACTTAAACTTAAAGACAATTTAGTGCGTTGTAAACAGCCACCTGTCTGTAAAATTAATCAACTGATTCATATTTGAGCAGCCTAATGATGATACAGGTTTGATTTGTAGATTTATTATCAATAATCAACATCTGAATCAAAAGATATCTGAAAAAGTGTGAGGCATACTTTGTGATGTTCATCTCTCTTTTTTTATCTGAAGGTTATGCATATGTGTTAGATACTAATGTTTTGTTGTTTTTTTAACAGCTACAGTTTTCCATACAATAACACAAGACCCTGTGACGATTGGCTGATTAGAGACGGATGGTGTATTTCCAGAGTTGGTGAAATGACCAAGCACACCTTCTTGGTCATATGTGGTGATAATAATGAAGGTATGTTTGATAAAGTTCTGTATTTGTTTCACATAAGCTGAGAGGGTATTAGAGCATTAGAGAATAACAAATGACATGAAGGTGATAAGTTTTGTATTGTGGGTGAACTGTTACTTAAATAATGTTTTGCTCTTTGCTTTGTGCTTTGCACTTTTCCTCTTCTGCTTATCCTAATATTTTAGATTATATTTGGACCTGAAACATCTGCTAGACTCCAGGAAAGGTGGCGTCAATACTGGACTTGAAAGGGCCTAACTGGTAAAGAAACACGCATGCACACACACACACACACACACACAAACACACACACACACACGCGCACACGCTTACAGAAAACTGTAAGTTTATGAATATTTTTACACTGTGGCCAATATTTTGGGGAAGTCAGCATCACTAAATGATATAAAAGATTTTAAGCTCCTCTAAAATTTGCTCCAAGTGTTGTGTTAAATTCAGGATTCTGGACAGACAGCTGTCTGTTTTTCCAGTTCTAGTCATAGTGGTTAACCTAATTGTTTTTGGAGATCCAACAGTGATGTATGTGTTTTTTCTACGTTTCCATATCCTGTCACCTCAACCAGCTGGGAGAGTCAAGTTGTGGATCATTATGTAGATTTTCAAAAGGTGAGTTTAGATTTCTTGAATGTTTTATTTACTTTAAATGTTCTTTTAAATATATCATAGAATTTGATTGCAATTTGTTTTTAAACATTTTTCTTAGTCATGCTGGAGTCTTGAAGAGTTCTTAGATGAGCATCACCCTATATCCGTGCATCAGGAACCACCAGACGAGCGATCAGCAGCTACTACTGTACATCATCATGGATAAAAAGGTCATCCTGTGGCTGGGAAGCACATCTTTCACAGGACATGCTTGATGAGATTTCCTAGCTCCAGTTTGTTTTCACACAAGTTTACAGCATTTATACCTTCATTGAAACTGCTGTGTTTGATATGGAGGACCAAGGAAATACCAGAAGTGAAAGATTTGCACGCCAAGTTGTTTAAAATGTAATTTCAGAAGAAAACTATGAGTTCAGAAGAAAACTATGAGTGACGATATATTGAACTTTTAAATTGCACTGATGAAACATCAAGTTTGGACCAAATGACTGAAACAGCCTTTTTGAGCACTGGTCATACATATTTTGTTGATACTGTCTGTACTAATAAAACATTTAAAGCATATTTGACATTGTTGCATTTTAAAAACTGAATGAATTGTTGAAGTGGTGAATGTTTTCAAATAAAATGTTTTTTATTTTATAATTTACAGTCTGTTTGACCTTTTTACCATATTTACACTCAAGAGAGTTGAATAAAATAAATATATTACACCAGGCGGTGTTAAATATAGTTACATTTTTTAACTCTGCCCAGAGTTAAAATTAACCCTTACTTCGGTGTCAATGTGCCAACCCTTTTGAAAGTGTTGATTTAACTTTGTTTTGAGTGGACCCCATGAGACACTTTCAAAGTGTTGAAATTAACACCCATAGAGTTGTTTTGGGTTCCCATATTTTGCTGTGTATATATATATATACATACATACATACATACATACATACATATATATATATATATATATATACACATACATATATATATACACATACATATATATATACACATACATATATATACATATATATATACATATATATATATATATATATATATATATATATATATTTATGAGTATAATATATTCACTGTAAAACACAACAGTCAACTTTACCAAACGAAATGAGTGTAGTTAACTCAAAATTGACTGAAAGTTAATTCTACTCATTTAAAAAAAGAGTTTCGAACCCAGTGTTGAAGGTAATGAGTTAATTAAACATCTCATTACTTCAACTTAAATGGAGCAAGTTCACAGTACTCACGTAGATTGGTTTTTTAACTCAAATAGTTTTCTGCAATCGGTTTCTTCGGTTGGTTTAAGTTGCCTTGATTTATTGGATTTGTTGGTTTGAGTTCTCTTCATTTATTGGGTTTTACTGAGCTCAAATTGCTTCAGTTACTCACATGGATTAATTTGACAGAACTCATTTTAATTTGTTTTTGAATTTAAATGGTTTGAGTTACCTTAACTTTTTGGGTTTTACAGTGTTGTATTATGTATTATATTACTGTATGTGTAAGAACTATTTAAATAGTTGAAAACAAAATAATAACAACAATAATAAAAATAATATAATATTTTTTGATTGAATGAATGAATGAATGATTGAATGAATGAATGAATGAATGAATGAATGAATGAATGAATGAATGAATGAATGAAAATAAATGTTTAACAAACTTTAACGATTTTGTTTAATCGGCTACAGAATAAACCACTGCCTGAACCTTGAATAAACCTAACTGGCTTAGTTAATCTAGTGCTTTATATTACACTTTATGCTTCTATTTTGCAAAACAACTAGAAAAAATATTATGAACTGTCATCATGGCAGAGACAAAAAAATTGTTATAAGAAATGAGTTATTAAAACTATTATTTTTAAAAATTTGTAGAAAAATCTCTCCATTAAAACAAACAAGAGGGCTAATAAAGAAATGATCTGCCAGTGGAATAAGTGAAATAATCTTGTTTTCACTTTAAAATGTAGATATTTGGACCAGAAGCAAGACAAAAAAAGTCTAAGAAATTAGTTTTTATCGCATAAATCATATAAATGCATAAAAATAAAGTCATTAAAAATAATTCTGTAGCTTACAGTCAATATAATTCAGATTGGACAGTACATGTCTTTGCGATGTGACTTTTGCAAATGCGCACATTGCGATGTCGATGCTGAAACGCTATATTGTGCAGCCCTACACTTTGTATATTATATGCATATAATTTTAAAATAATGTGTAACATTTAATTCTTACATGTGCATTGTGACAATTATTTTTCCTTTGTCTTTTTTATAACCTCTATCTCGAAATTTACAAAGTAGTACCAGATATGAATTTTAATTTAAATAAACTGAACGTTTGATTTCCATCATAACCCTATTTATTTGTTCCATACAGGTACACTACCGATGAAAGGTTTTGGGTCAGTTTTTTTTGTGTTTTTTTTTTATGCAAATTAGTCTGTTCATCAAGGCAGCATTTATTAAACGTAAAAAAAAAGTTAAATTGTTTAGTAATTATTTACTACTTATTATATGTAGTTTCAAATTAAATTATTACTTTAGTCATTATTGCTTTTTTACTATTAATATTTAGGCCTATAATAATAATAATAATACTAATAATAATAATAAAAATTAATCTTTAAAATTACTGGAATAGTTATTTTATAATACAATAACATTTCACAATTGTACTGTGTATTTAATGAGCTGACTCCAAACCTTTAAACGGTAGTGTATGTATGTATGTATGTATATATGTATGTATGTATGTATGTATGTATGTATGTGTGTGTGTATGTATGTGTGTGTGTGTGTGTGTGTGTGTATTGATATATATATATATATATATATATATATATATATATATATATATATATATATATATATATATATATATATATATATATATATATATATATATATATTACAATGAGCAGTATTTTTGTCAGTAACTAAATGCAAAATAAATGAACATTACGGTCAATTTGTAGATGCAATCAATACTATTGTGATTAATGCATGCAAACAATGTACTCACGAATCATATTTCTGCAGTGTGCTTTCACAAAAGAGTAATGAAATATCAAACTGCTTAACTGTCGACAGTTTCATATACTACCGCATATATTGAAGCTTTATAGTAATTTATAAGAAGTCTGTTCAGCCATCAATTTTTTTTCAACATTATGATATGAAGCCCGGCTGACTGAAGATCTTCCAGCTGCACTTCATAAATTAATTCCCTGCACATGCATAATTCAACAGCCGCTCATCAGTATCAAGCATTTCCTTACCTGTAGAATAAATCCAAGGTGTCCTGGGGATGTTCAAATAAAAAAACGAGCGCTCCTTCTTGTTATTTAAATTCACAAACAAGTCATTACTTTCCTTCTGCGACGTCACGACCGCACAAAACGATGTCAGAGTATCGGAGCGCCAGATGAAAGAGCGCACGAGCCGCGCACACTGTGAATGACGACGGCTGTCAGACTGCAACATATTCAGCGTAGAGGCTTCCTGTTACATCATCAGCGCCAATCCCCGCCTCAATGCACACTCCAGCTCTCCGTACACTGACTGCTTCATCTCATTTAAAACACAACTGATATTACCATTAACCCTTTTGCGTTCATTTGAAGTAGTTACGCATAGGTGCAAAGAGGACGAAAAAAACATATCAAAGTAACATAGGCTATGTATTTAAAAAAAAAAAAAAAAAAAACTTTAGCAGCATTAATCTCGATGTTAACAACCAAAATAATTAATTACAATAATTAATTAATTAAAAAAAATAATCATTAATATTATTTATTATTTTTAAGGATTATTTTTCCTAATGATATGCTATATTAGGCCCATAGCTAGCCTGGTAAAAGGACTGTTTTTTTTGTTTTTTTTTTTCTCAAAAAGTGGACTTTCTACAGTTATGTGACTCATTTTCTATTTAATTATGAGCTTTATATACAGCATTTTAGTGGCATTTTAAGCACTATTTTTATTTTTAAATAAGTTTGTGAGATGGTCAAACTTTTTGATGTACCAAAAACATTTCCTAAAGACTTAGAATAAAGAAATCTGGAAAAAAAAGGATTCTTATATTTAACATACAATTTCATTGCATTATATATCACTAGGGGGGAAATATGAACCTGTTAAATTTTTAAAGTAAAATCTGTAGCCTATTTTCAGATATGAGGCACATAACAAACTGGCCAGTATATACACACACACACACACACACACACACACACACATATATATATATATATATATATATATATATATATATATATATATATATATATATATATATATATATATATATATAATATAGAGCTTCACCATTTTTCTAGCCTCTTTTAAAAAGTAGTTTGATAATTCTTGGTTAACAACAAAAGTAACTTTATTATGGGCCACCTTTGGTGCTTCACAACATTTAATTGGTCATTTTTTCCTTCAAGAATAAGGTCCAAGATTTAGAATAAAATGTTTTTTTTTCTATTTAACAACAATACAGTAAGAGTTGACTTTATTTGCAGGTCTTACTTTAGGTCTTAAAGGCTTTTTTAATAATTTTTTTTTTGATAATTCATGATGGTATAAGGTCAAAATAGGACAAATAAGCTATTTGGGACAAATACTGGACCTTAGTCTCTCGGGGCTGGTTCTTTCGAACCACCCAACACCCAAAATTAAATTAAATTAATATATTTAAAATATTTAAACTGAATTTGTTTAAATTCAGCTAATATAAGTTGTTTACAAGCATTTAGCAAAAAAAAAAAAAAAAAAAAGTAAATCCAATGAATATTTTTTTTCAGTGAAGCACTAAGTTGTACTTTAATTACTCTTAGATCAGTGTATTGTAAATGATCATTGTCACATACAATAAATAAATAAATAAACTCCCCCTAACACAAGTGTTTCAAAACATAATCTGATATCTTAACAATGCAAGCAAATAATTAGAATTACATAATTTTTATTCATTCGGACTGCAGTGCTCAAAAGATTGATCTCCTAATTAACGCTTGATTCCACCTTAAGGATGTAATCCCGCCAATCAGTCAATTTGAGGAAAAAGTCTCAAATTGGAAGATCTAGAGAAGGGGTGCCCAAACTGAGTTTGGACACCTCTGATCTAAAGCACAGACTGACATCGTGTTCTCAAGACTTTTTCTTGTAGTTGTTTGTATCTACATGTAGCCTGAAAGTATACTCAAACTAGATGCATTTAGTAACATTTGTAGTCTGACCTACAGTAACATCTGAAATCAGAGGATAATGTAGATCAGAATACACTTAATATCCCTCAAAACGCAAAAAAAAAAAAAAAAAAAAAACTTAAATACATTTTATTAATAAACTAGATGTGATGAAAAATTAATACATTAAGGACCGAAGCATGTATTAGAAAAACTGACCGAAAAATATATATATATTTTTCATTCTTTTAAAACCTGTTTTAATCATTTTTATATCAAAATTTAATCATTTTATCAATAGGTGCAGTTTACCAAATGCTTTACATTTTTTATATAGTGCATAAATGTTAAAGACACCTCAAACTAAAAAGCTCCTCTTGCAGACTTTAAGATACACAATGATCCTTACCAGTAACAAAGCCACCAAAACATGATTCAAATAAAAGTGTTTAATAAGAGTACATATTTAAGTATGCATTTTCACCACTGTCAGTGGAGTCCAATATGTCTTCTTAAGAGTAACAGCTCCATCTTGTGTAGAAAACAGAACAAGTCATATAAGAAGGGTTTTTTTTTTGTGTGTGTATCTGCTTGCTTTTTTCTCACATGTATTAAGAAGTCCTACTGTATAGCATGTTACTTACTGGAAGTTAAAGATGTTAGTAATTTAGTTATGCAGTCAAAAATGCATGCAAATCCAAAATGTAGTACATTAATACATAAACTCAACATATGATGATTTATCACTGCGTCCTGGATATACAGTTGAGGTCAGAATTATTAGCCCCCCTGAATTATTGACCCTCTTGTTTATTTTTTCCCCCAGTTTCTGTTTAACGGAGGAAAGGTTATTTAACACTTTTCTAAACTTAATAGTTTTAATGGCTCATTTCTAATAACTGATTAATTTTATCTTCGCCATGATGACAGTAAATCTTTTACTAGATATTTTTCAAAACATTTCTATACAGCTTAAAGTGACATTTAAAGGCTTAACTGGGTTAATTGGGTTAACTTGGCAGGATAGGGTTATTAGGCAAATCCAATATATACATAGCCCAAAGGGGCTAATAATATTGACCTTAAAATGTTTTTTTCAAAAATAAAAAACTGCTTTTATTCTAGCTGAAATAAAACAAATAAGATTTTCTCCAGGAGAAAGAATATTATCAGAAATACTGTGAAAGTGTCCTTGCTCTGTTAAACATCATCTGGGAAACATCTAAAAAAGAAATACAATTTAAAGGGGGGCATATACTTCTGACTTCAACTGTGTATATATATATATATATATATATATAAAAGTTATTTCAAACAATGAGAAGAATGAAAACTGATATATATGGAGTGCAAAGAAGAAAACAAATTAGTATGCACCAGAACAATTTTACATAAAGATGAAAAAGTATATAGAAACCTCAACAACTGTTTATAAAAAAGCATAAATACTCAGTATTAAATAGATTCATAAGTGGCATTGTGAACAAAGACAAGATATGAGTATTTATAATGCAGAGGAATTTGCATTTAAGTGTCCTATCTTTCACCAGAAAAGAGTAGTTAATTATGTTTTACATTTAAAATATGTAGAATGCTTACATATCTGAAGGCCTGATTAAAATCTATTAATTGTGTTAATTATATACATGACTGTAATATGTGTCACTAAAACTGCTACCACAGCACACGATGTACACAGTGTGGATAAAAGAGTGGTTTAGGTTTTGGTTTCATTAAATAATCTAGTTTAGACAGATCGGAATAAGATATTAGAGTTCCTCGTCTTTATCCGTATTTGCTTTCTCCGGTGTTGATCTGAAAGAGAAACCATTGAACATACTGAATCAACAACAGATACAAGTCCTGCTTGATACAAGTCTTGCTTAACTTTTGAGGTAGCTGAGTTTTGTTCTCACTCTTTATCTCCTTTACTGTTTAAACTACAGTAGATCTTAATTATAATGATAAACCTTACCAAAACAGAAGAGTAAGCCCACCTTTCATGCACATTTTCATGCAGTGTCTTTTGTGGATGAAGTTGTTTTTGTTTCCTCCACATCCAGAGTAGCGAAAGACTTGACATCTGCCAATCCTAGGATTGAACACGTATCTCCTCTCAGAGCCGTCACAATCCCCCCGGTCAACTGCACTCATGCACAACTCTGGAGGACTGAACTCTAAAATACACAGACAATAAGATGACAATCATTAGCATTTTTAAAAACTGCACACATTCATACATGCATTATTTTAGCTTGTCATCATGTTTTAGTGTCTATGAGTTTTTCAGTTGAATTTAGTTGCTTATTTAGAACCCCAGTTATATATAGGCTATATATACAGTGCAGTGGTGTGAAAAATGTTTGCCCCCTTACTGTTTGTCACTTTAATGTTTCAGATCTTCAGATGACTTTAAATTTTAGTCTGAGATAACACAAGTAAACATATCACACAGTTTTGAAATGAAGCTTTTTATTTTAAAGGGGAAACAAATTACAAAATGAAATAGCCCTTTGTAACCTAATAAATAGTTGAGCCACCCTTGGCAGCAACAAATGCAATCAAGCATTTCGATAACTTGCAATCATCCTGTTACAGCGCTATGGAGAAATTTTGGCCCACTCATCTTTGCAGAATTGATGTAATTTAACCACTTTGGAGAGTTTGAGCATGAACCGCCTTTTTAAGGTCATGCATCTCAATTGGATTGACATCAGGACTTTGACTAGGCCACTCCAAAGTCTTAATTTTGTTTTTGTTCAACCATTCAGAAGGGGACTTGCTGGTGTTCTTTTCTGGCAAAACAATGTTCCTTTTGCTCAGCAGTGGTACTTGTCTTGGAACTCAGTCTCTTTCTTATGGTGAAGTAATGGACAGTCAAGACGCCTGCAGTTCTTTGGATGTTGTTGTGGGGTTTTTGTGACCTCTTACATGTGTTGTCACTGCACTCTAATTGTCTGAACTGGTAATTTTGGTCAGCCAGCCACTCTAAAGGTTTTCCATGGTTCCATGTTTTTGGCATTTGTAGATAATGAATCTCATTGTGGTTTGCTGCTGTCCCAATGCCTTAAAAAATAGCGTCATAACATGTTTCAGAATGCTAGATCTCAAGTATTTTCTTTCTAATTTGTTATTGAATTGATCTCAGCATGATGCCCTGCTTTTGAGGATCTTTTGATCTACTTCACTTTGTCAAGCAGGTCCCATTTAAGTGATGCCTTGTTTGTGAACAGGTGTGGCAGTGATTAGTCCTGGGTGTGATTACAGAAATTGAACTCATATGTGATGAACCAGAGATATGTTTAAACAGGGGGGCAAACACTTTTTTCACACAGGGCTATGTAGTTTTTTTTTTTTTTTTTTTTTTGCCTTTAATAATTTATTAATTGAAACCTTTAGTTCTTTTGTTATCTTTGACTAATACTTAAATTTAATTGATGATCTGAAACATTAACGTGTAACAAACATGCAACAAACAAACAAACAAACAAAAAGAAAGTTGTTAATGGGCAAACACTTTTTCACACCCCTGAATAGGTCTGAAACATTTGTAACAATTAGTAACATTGTAAAAAAACTTTGTTAGTTGTTAAGAAAGAATAATGGAAGATTTTCCAAATAAAAATTTATATGCTATACTTGTTCCTTTGTATGTACAAAATTTACTATAAACTTTTGTTTCTGAAAATTCTATGATGAACTAATCATGACAAATGTTTTATCTTTACCATGTCATTTGTTACAGTATGAAAAACAATAGATGATTTTAAAAAGCCATCGAATGAACCTATTTAATCTGCAGTCTAACTAGGTGAATATTGTAGATGTAAAAAAAAAAAAATTTGTTGACTTGAATTTACAATAATAGTCCACTAGATGGCAGTAAAATAACACTATTTTTCAATAGACGCATGGAATATTTGGTGTGCAAATGAACAATTTCACAAGGTAAAAAACCTTCAGAATACAGATATAAACAGAACGCTTGAGTCAAGTGTGATTTCTGTCAATGCTGCTGAAATTAAGATTTATGGCTCACTGCAGGAGAACAAACCCATGTTGAGAAACCAGAATTGCAAACAACTGCTATAAAAGAAATGCTGTACTGTATTTTGACATGTTCTTACCATTATATTCAATAAACAAAAAAAAAAAACTTTATGGAAAGCCAAACAGCCTAAAAAAACATTTTTTTAAGGCAAGCCATTTTTTAATTTAATCAACAGCCCATCTATTTTCATGTTACTAGTGCTTATTTTTTTGATTTTGTATATTTTCCATTAAGAACTAGTACTTATTCATTGGATACGAGTGCTTATTCGTTAGATACTAGTATCTATTTAAGAGATACTAGTACTTATGAAACAGATACTACAACTTATTTGAAAGATACTAGTACACATTAATTAAATACTAGTTCTTGTTTGAAATGTTACTAGTAAAACATTTTATTTTTAATTATATTTAATTGAACTCGACTCTTCCATTAGAACTGGTCATAACATAATACAAGTAAAAAGCAAAACTGACTAGTAAAATAAGAATTGTAACTAGTAATAGTTATAACAGACACTAGTGTCTAATAAATAAACACTAGTACTAATGAATAACTACTAGTATCTATTTAATAGTTAATAGTATCTAATGAATTTGTACCAGTATCTATTTAATAAGTACTAGTATCTATTAAATAGATTATCTAATAATTAAGTTCTAGTACCTAATGAATAAGTACTAGCATCTAATACATAAGTACTATTAGTTAGATATCGATATCTAATTAATAAGTACTAGTACTTAATGATTACCTACTAGTACAAAAAGATATGTACTAGTCCCAGCTGGAATGCATACTAGTCAAAGCTGAACAGTTGATATCTCAATGACAGATCCCATAGAAATCAATAGAAAACTTTTAAATTTGTTACTATTAACAACAGAATAGTAACTAGTCACTATTAAAATAAGTAGCATCTAATAAATATTAACTAGTATCTATTTAATAAGTACTAGTACCTAATGAATAAGTACTGGTACCTATAGATATTAGTATCTAATGAATATGTAAAAGCATCTAATGAATAAGTACTAGTATCTAATGCATAAGTACTAGTATCTTTTTAATAATGTGTAAGCACAAGTATCTTAAAAATAGGCACTGGCATTTAATAAATAAGCATTGGTATCTAATGAATAAGTACTAGTACTTAATAGAAAAGTACTAGTATCTAAAACAAATAAGCTCTAGTGACATGAAAATAGATACTAGTATTGGGTGTCGATTGAATGTCAAAACGGCTTGCCATATAGTGTTTTTGCCTGCAGTCTCCTGCCATAACACAACAAAATATACTTTCTGTAAAAAAAAATAATAAATAAAAAAATAAAAAATAAAAAAAAAACTGAGAGGAGTTCAGATACAAAATTCTCTGATTGCTGGCTGAAATCGTCATGTTAAAATAGCATTTTTTTCAGGCTCCTGTTTAAAATCAGTAATTTATGGCATTAAACTGAAATAACTGAACATAAAAATAGAAGCCTACACTCTCAGAAAAAAAGGTACAAAATTGTACCTTTTGGGGTACAAATGGCCCGTCACTGGGGTGGTACCCTTAAGGGTACAAATTTGTACCTCTATTTAAAGGTACAAAATTGTACCTTCTACATTTGTACCCTTTAAGGGACAATTTTGTACCTTAGACACTGAAGGTACAAAAATGTACCTTTTTATATTATATAGTATTTTCAGGGTACTGACCCAGGCATTTTGATCCTTTGGTGACTGCATGCACAAATAAATAAATAAAATATTTTGGTTCACAGATGTCCATTTTTATTTATTAATGTAGAAATATTTAATTACAACTCACAACTGAATGTGTTAAGAAATAAAATTACACAGCAAGTATAAAGCAGACATGTAAAACAGTAAAAAGAATTTAGATAACAAATAAAAACTGAATAATCTACACTTAATACAAAGACCACAAGAATACTGTTTAAGATTTATAAACACATTACACAGGCTACAACAAGTACTGCACTTTATAAAGTCCAAAGTATTTGTCTTTAGTCAGAATACTCGGTCATAATAAATAATTTGTCATCAACATTTTCTCTGAATTTCAGAATGAAGGCAAACCTTCTCTAGAAATTGCTTCAACAGTGCAGAAAAATCAAATACATCAGTAGCCTCTTCTTCAACATTAGTAGATTACTCCTCATCATCCTCAAGTGGAGTTGTAATTTGTTGTAACACAATATGTGTTTATGCTTTTGATAAACATGACATGTCAAGCACTCATATCTGGAAAATGTTCTTTGATAGTCATTAGGACCACAAGTTATTTAAAAATTTGCTTTATGCATGAATGATAGCAGTGTGCTGGATAAACTTGATTGTGATTATCCCAAGAGCATGTAGAGAAACAAAAAGCAAGGTTTATCACTCTGGTAACTGGAGTAGATTGAGGCTTGTCACCGTCCACCATTCATTCAAAACATTCAACTGCAGAAACATCAGGGTGTTCTTCTAATAAGATGGATATGTCAAAAATGTATATTCGTCCACATCATTAGCCCGGCCAATCGCAATCCCATCAACTCTGAAGACTGCCGTGACTCGTCTTGTTAACACAGTTGTCCAGTCGGTGGCCTCCTCCTGTACTTGAACTGTTGGATGTGGTGAAGATGGTTCACTGTAAATGACAAAGCAATAATTACATTAATATCAGTCACTCTATCACTGATGAAGAGAAAATCAACATGCATAGAAAGTAAAATAATAAATATTCACCGATTTAAAAAAAAAAAGTATCACAGATTAAAAGACTAATATAAATTTCATTCATTCATTCAATTTCTTTTCGGCTTAGTCCCTTTATTAATCTGGGGTTGCCACAGTCGAATGAACCACCAACTTATCCAGCATATGTTTTATGCAGCAGATGCCCTTTTAGCTGCAACCCAGTATTACGAAACATCCAGACACACTTATTCACACACACATTTATACACTACAGACAAATAAGCTTACCAAATTCAGCTATAGCGCATGTCTTTATACTTGTGGGGAAATCGGAGCACTTGGAGGAAACCCTCACAAACACTGGAATAATATGCAAACTCCTCACAAAAATGCCAACTGACCCAGCCGAGGCTCGAACCAGCGAACTTCTTGCTGTAAGGTGACAGCACTACCCACTCCGTCATCCTGATATAAAGAATATCAAGCATTATAAAATGCATTAATCACAGCATATACTAAACAGAAAACAACATACGCACCGGAGCACAACGAAATGTTGAAGTGTCTCGCTTAACAAGGCTGGCAACATGAGAAGTTCTGCTGTAAAATCAATTCCTGGAACATAAGATGTGGCATACAAACAAATATGAAGGAATCCATCCAAAGCTAGAATTTAATAATATTAATCAAGTGGAGAAAGTTTAGAAAGAGTACCTTAGAGTCAGGTCCATAGCATTCTTCAGTTGATCTCTCATCTTTCGGTGAAAACCTAGAAAATAATTTTAAACACCTGAGTGTACATTTATTGTTGTTTGTAAGTAAAAACCTAAAAATTTAAAATAGTATGTAAGCCATTAAAACCATGGTATATATAGATAATGAGACATACTTACATCTTGTAACTGAGCCATGCTTTCATATGACATGCCTTCATTGATCTGATGCTGTTAGGCTGCATTCTGTTGTTCAATCTTGTCCTGAAAGACAATTGGAAACTTCAAAAACTTCTGGAAAGCAATAAGATAAAGCAATAACTATTTACTTATTTTGAGATATTAATAAAATAGGTAAAATAGCTCAAGGTACCAGTTTCAGAACAGATGAGACAAATTATTACATTAAAGAACAAAGTATAACTTAAAACGTCGATTAATACAACATGGTATGTTAATAATTATACATTAACATAAGTATAACGTTAAACGATAGTAAAGCACCAACAAATCTGGACATGAGAGTTTGTGGACACTCCTCAACATTAATGTAACTTAGACACTGAAACGAAGATATGTACAAGCATACACACGACACGTTTGTAACTAGCCACGTTTACATAATCAGTCACTTTGTCGGTGACAAAATTGTGATTTTTCTTCACAAAATGGCGGTGTAACTTATATAAAGTTAACCGTCTAAAATTACATTTCAGCGGTCAACCGTGGCTAGAAAAATGGCCTCAAAATATAAAACATTATCGATAATTACAAATTTCCAGTATTAATAACAAAAGGTTTTATATCAAGGTAACTTATATGAAGACTTTACGTTAGTCGCGCGAGCTCCGGGCCACACCGCACATTACTCACGGGTCACGGCCCGATTCCGGTGCACGGATACGGCAGCGTCGGCTCGCTTCTGCCGCCGCAGCTGGCCCGAGTGTATTTTGCTAATTGGGTTGCGATTATATTCCACCGTGGCAACACTTATTAATAAAGCAGTAACGTAACGTAAGATATAAGGCGCGAATACGTAACGTAGGCGACAAAGGAAACTTTTACACCGAGAAAACTAACAGCATATAGTACTCACCGTCTATAACGTTATGTCCCTCGGTGACTTCGATATCACATTGTATTAACTTCTTTAATAAGCTGCAGACATCTTAGCAAACTCCATCCTGCAGGCCAGCCCGGAGCACTTAAAGCGGGGGAAAGCCGAGACCCGAGAGTCAGACAAAATCAACAGAACACGGCTTCACATGTAAAAATGAGACTGAAAATATATCTTTAATACATTCTTACCTGAAAAGTGTGGACTCCAAAATAGACTTTTCTTTGAAAAGCGTGCGAAGTTCTGTGTAAACAGCCAGCATACTCGACGGACCGCCTCAGTAACAAACACTGCTATAACGTCTCAACAAGCCAAATTCTTAAAGAGACAGCAACATCACCACCTGTATGAAGATGCTGTCACTCTGCATGGTTCTTTTTCTACATCCCATAAACTATAGGGTCTTAAACAGTAAGCAAAGACCAGTATTTACGTTTTTAATGATTAAAATTACATTCAATTATAAATTAAATTATTAACATTTTTGAGAAAAAATGTAATTTAAATACATTAAAAAAAATTAATTATTAAAATATTTAATTCAATCAATTTATTTATTTATTATATTTTTAAATTATGTATTTTAGTATTAATGTTTAGTATTAATACATTTAAATTAGTGTTATATAGTGTCTTGATCTTATCATGAGCTGAGGGTACAATTTTGTTCCTATAGGGAAATAAAATATATAATTGTACCTTTAAAGGTGCCAAATTGGTCCTTTACGGTACAATTTTGTATCCAAATGTGCTATAAAAGGTACAAAAATGTACCTTTCAAACCTAAATCTGGACATTTGTACCTTTATAGCCCATTTGGGTACAAAATTGTACCCTAAAGACCAATATGGGACCTTTAAAGGTACAATTTTATATTTTGTTCCCTCTAGGAACAAAATTGTACCCTCATTGTACCTTTTTTTCTGAGAGTGTATAAGAAATGTTTTATAAGAACATTTCAGTCAGCATTTAGTGTTTTTTATTTTCTTGCACATGAACTTGTCAAAAACAGATTTGCACAAAAAAAAAAAAAAAGAGTTGCGTATTATCAAATTGACACATTTGATCTCTGTGGCAGACAGGGGTGTCCTGTGGAGCAGAGAGCAGATCTGAACTGTCCAAATAAGCAGAAGGAGGCAAAAAAAAATGTCTGCTCCGCCGCCAGCTGGACTCAGACAAACAGACTGTCTGACAACACCACACAGCTGTCTCCAACCCATGTGTGTGTGAGGTGTGCAACTCTCACCTGCTTCCTGTTTAGCTGGTTGGGAGACTCTCCTCAGCGCTGAATGGGATGAGTTCAAATGAGCATCATCTAAAAATAAACAAATAAATGAAGGGAACATGAATCACAAATAATATTCAGGTGTACGACATTAACAGAACAGCTCTGGGGAAAAAAGACCACTTATCACAGTTATTATCACTTTTCTGGATTTGCCTTTAATAGATACATATTCTGAGTAAAATCGTGTTTTAGGTTATAAACTACTGGTGATTTCTTCACAATTGCAAATAAGAACATTATCATTTAGAGTTGACAATAGGTCAGTCTCACCATGTATAGCAGGAGATTCTATCACAGGTTTGGCTTCCTCTTCCTCTGACTTTAATACAGCGGTAACTAAAAAGAGGGCACAAAATAGACAGCATGACTTTTTGTTGGTGTTGTTGTTGATGTCCTATTGTGCTGACAGTCTTTCTTTCTCAAACAACATTAACACACTTCACATCTGGATTAGTCCAGGCTTAAAACAGGCTTCAAAACTACATCAACTAACTATTTAGCAAGTGATACAAAAATCTGCCAAGAAAAATATTAAATTCAAATTAAGGGTCTAATATTTTAAATCACTTTTGTTAAAATAAAATAACAAAATATGAGTTAAATATTCCAAATGAAAACACATATTCCAAAAGGTTTTATTTTAATAAATAAAAACACATAATAAAAATTTTTAATATATACCGTTGAAGTCAGAATGATTAGCCCCCTTTTGATTTTTTTTCTTTTTTAAATATTTCCCAAATGATGATTAAATGATTAATTTTCACAGTATGTCTGATAATATTTTGTCTTCTGGAGAAAGTCTTATGTGTTTTATTTTGGCTAGAATAAAAGTAGTTTTTAATTTTTTAAACACCATTTTAGGGACAAAATTATTAGCCCCTTTAAGTTTTTTTTTTTTTTTTTTTTTTGATAGTCTACAGCAGTGGTTCTCAAAGTGGTGGTCGCGGGACAATGAAGGGGGGTATTATTATTATTGTTTTTATTATTATTATTACTATTAGCAGTATATATAATATACTGGATATAACTTTTTTTGACCACACTTAATATTGTTTATTTATTTGGTTGCTGGAAAATAGAACAGAATTCAGAAATAGTTTTGAAACAAATCTTTTTGCTTAACAAACTAAATTAAATATGTAGGCAAAAAGATGTCTTCAGTGGAGTGCGTACAACATCATTTCCTTATCTACAAAAGGAGTAAAGTAAAGAGTAAAAGTAAAGAGAAAGTAAAGATGCAGAATGGAGGAGACTCGTTCTTTGTCCTTGCACAGATGTTCTGTTTAACTGTTTTCTTGCTAGTGAAGTGTTCAGTTTTTCCACTTGCAAAGTCGCCATGTAAATAGCAAATGCACCATGGCGTAACACAACTGATTCTTTAAGAGAATGGGAGATGAGACTCAGATTGGTTTAATGCACAATACGTTCGAAACACATCCATAACTCATTAAGAGAATAAGCACAACCCTGTCAGACCACGCATCAGGGCGCAAAGCATATATTTCCATCTTTAAAATAACATTTGGACATTCCTTTAGAATTTAATCTTTGCGTCTAGATCATTAAAATAGAGCCCTAGATCTCATAGTTTTTATTTTAACTAAGATTTTAATTATGTGTTTAAATCAACAAGTTATATTATACACTTATTAAAAATGTATAAATGTATTCATTTAGGGCAACAGAACCAAAATACATTTTCTAGAATCATATTTATAAATAAAACATAATAGCCAATTTGACAATGTGACACCTTAATGGGAAGCAGCTTTTTGCCCTTATATATTAGACAATTTAATTGTGTGTTAGCCTAGATTAGTAAACCACATTTTATTGTTGGATATTTTTTTTTAAAGATGATGTGTTTCCAGTAGTCCATTCTGGATAATGCTTAAAAACCTGTTTTTTTTTTAACTCTGGCTCCACTTAAAGATTTAAATATCAATATTTAAAAGGCCTTTTTGAGTGCAGAAAACCTTTTTAGTTTGTTTCCACCTTTTCTCTGACCTCGAGGCCAGTGTTGCCTCTGTCTCTTTAAGACATCTGTCTAAACATCCTCCTCACATGTGAAATAAGATACAGTGTTCTGCTTTCCCAACACAAATGCTGTCAGCTCTAATACAGATTTAACCATTGCATCCTTTAAAAACAATTTGATTCCTAATACTATGACCTCTTTAATGCTATTTCAACTTTTCAACATCGGCACTAAGACTCGAATAAATAAATAAATAAACAAATAAAATGCACCCAGCTGCATTTGGGTCTAAATGAAAAGTGTTAATTGTACTTGGGAATGACGGGTATGGAGCTCATAATACTAAAGAGCTCTAATCTTTGTCATGCAGATGTCTTTAATTACAGGCCTTGTATAAAAACAATATGTCATTACTGAAAATTGCAGAGAGGAGAAGTGTTTGCTGGTACATACGCTGACATCTCTGTTGGCATGCTTTTATGGTCTTGAAGTTGTTGGCGTTCCCAAAGCATCCACCATAAAAGAACTGTTTGCATTCCTGGCTCTTCTGATCAAAAAAATAGCGAGGCACCAGTCCTCTACATGGCCCCGGCTCATCCTCCAGATGACATGGACTTTTATTCTCTATGAAAACAAGCAAAAAGATGAGACAGACCATAAATCGTGTACTGCTTTATTTATAACATCTTTTTCATTAGCTTTAAACTTGATTTCACCAACTTTTTCAGAATTCTGATATATGTCAGAGCTGCTGCACAATATATAATTTCAGCATCGATATCGAGATGTGCATAGTCACATCACAGGATCTGCAATGTTGAGTTGGGATTGTAATTAATCAGAAAACACTGAATTTTTAGGCCTGCATGTGACTATTAGGGTTGGGCGATGTCGACCAATTTGCCATCATACGATGTCTTGTATGAAACATCATGATGGATAATGGCATTGTCGTCGTAGTTGGTAGTGAATTAATTATTTATGAATATTTAATTAACTCATATTGAATTAATTATTTGTAGCCTACCGTTTCATACCTGACCCGCATGGTCTTTGTTTTACCCATAACCATATCATTAATAAATAAAAATAAGATACACACAAATTACAGCAGATATTGTTGGTTGGGATGAATAGGCAGAGTGATCTGTGTTGTCATAATGACGTCGACAAACTTGCTTGGTAAAAAGGTGCACAGCCAACAGCAATCAACCAACAGTATCTGAGGTTTTTACAAAAATGACTAAGTACAAGCGTGAAAGCGAAAGATTGAAGCAGTGTTCTGATGCTGACACATTACCTAATAGATTCAAAATACTAAGTACTAAGTTATTAAATAGAGACAAGATTAGTTAAATATCATATTTACTAACTGTAGTGAGACGCCATCCAGCGGTACATCGTTGATAAACTGTTCGATGTGTACTGCTCTCTGGGGTTTTGTGCTTAAAGGACCCAATGACAGCTGTAGCTCAGACGCGCACATACCAGAGGGTCACGTGATGTTCGTTTTCAGCAGTATATATGTGAGGGTGGGCTTTTATGTAATGCTAGGTCTAACGCCATTGTTGACGTGGTTCGTTTTCATTCTAAAATTCCATTATAAAACTAAAGACTGATTTATACTTCTGTGACAAGCGCACATATGTGTTCCGGCACAGCCTACGCATAGTTGCATAGCCCTCGCCATGGCCGTCAGTGACGCTGATAATAAGATTGTCACACTATTAATAAATGTATTATTCTCCCTTTCACCCTCTGCACTCCAATCAGAACCGTCCTTTCATTATTGAAGACAGGGCAGTAACATTTAAAGCCAATAGATGAAGAGACTTTTCCCAATCATATTTGCATAGAGAGGCGAAGCAGTAGCGCAGTAGGTAGTGCTGTCGCCTCACAGCAAGAAGGTCGCTGGTTTGAGCCTCAGCTCAGTTGGCGTTTCTGTGTGGACTTTGCATGTTCTCCCTGCGTTCGCGTGGGTTCTCTTCAGGTGCTCCGGTTTCCCCCACAGTCCAAAAACAAGCGGTACAGGTGAGTTGGGTAAGCTAAATTGTCCGTAGTGTATTTGTGTGTGTGTGTGTGTGTGTGTGTGTGTGTGTGTGTGAATGTATGGATGTTTCCCAGAGATGGGTTGCAGCTGGAAGAGCATCCACTGCGTAAAAACTTGCTGGATAAGTTGTTGGCTCATTCTGCTGTGGCGACTGCTGATTAATAAAGAGAATAAGCCGACAAGAAAACGAATGAATGAATGAATTTGCATAGAGAGTTATTAAAAAAGGTTAACACACTAAACTGGTACTGTACAAAAGCTTGCTGCAATACAACTGTAACATTCATTAACTAACTGTGGGTTACAATAATATGCATTGAATATGCATTAAGAACTTAATCTGGATAAATTGAAATGTTTTTTAGATTTTCCATAGATTTTAAAATAGTTGATTCTTGGCCAAATAGTGTACAATCATAACAAACAAACTATACATTAATGGAAAGCTTATTTACTTGTTTTGTGGTTCAAAACACATTTGTCCATGTTTTCTGCCGTTTATTTTATGCTCAGAGTAATCTCTGAACTGAAATTAAATAAATGAATACGGCATACATTAATTACAACACAGGAGGCATTTGAAACTATGAAATATTAACATGGGTATTGAGTGATTAACCTAGGAAATATTGGAATTGAATATTACTCTTGGAGAAAGCAGCTTGACCGTCCCCTTAACCGATATCCTGGCCATAAGCCACGCAGACGCCGGAGTGATTGATATATTTTAGCTCCATCTACAGCGCATACCCTGTTGATAAATTAATGGCCAGATTCCAAGGTTCCACAGATTAAAAAAATCACTTAATTTCCTGCCGCGTTCTTTTTTTGCCCTGTAATGCAGAATGTTATTTATGGCTGCTGCTAATTAAAATATTTCACTTAAGTGGTTATTCATCATGGAGAAAGGCAGCTTTTAATCCAATCAGCTGTGAGAAATCATCAAGGCATTTTGTTTTTCCTCTCTTCTTTCAGATAAATCGGATTTAGAAGGAACGATGAGTTGCACTAACCTGACCATAAATGTCACGCAGTCACTATACACATGGAAGCTTTTGGATATTATTCATTGTTAATTGCTGGATCACTTACTACTTGAAAGTGTTTAAAATGTGATTATGTTGAGGGAAAACAACTTTAAGCAAGCAGATGATGAAATACGATTTTTTTAAAGAAAAAAAATGCAGTTTTTTATGTTTTAAAATTACACCCAATGATTTCAATGGTAAAAAAAGAAATAAATAAAAGTGCTACATTAAAAATCTGTAACCTGGTTAACAGTTAAAGTTTACTTAATATATGTGCTGAAAAACAGTAAATATTCACTTTTCCTGAATTCCCCCTTAACACTTCACATTTTAAGCTGTTTTTGTTGATATTATAATGGTTCTTCTTAGTTTTTTTTTTCTCACCAGTTATAAACATTAAAGTTTTGTTACATGTAATGATGATTTATCCCAGCAGGCACAGGACGTCAACATGATGTCAGATTGACGTTGTACCCCAACATTGTGAGGACATTGCATTTTGTTTGGAAAGGTCCAACCTATAATCAACCAAATATCAACGTCTAATGATGTTACAGCTTGACGTCTATCAGACATTGAATTTTGGTTGCCAACCCTGATAAATAAATGTCAATATTTGATATCAATATGACATTGGATTTAATGTTGGATCCATGTTGGATTTTGATCACTTCCCAACACATTCATTCATTCATTTTCCTTCGGCTTAGTCACTTTATTCATCAGGGGTTGCCACAGCAGAATGAACTACCAACTTATTCAGCATATGTTTCACACAGCGGATGTCCTTCCAGCTCCAACTCAGTACTGAGAAACATCCATACACACTCACATTCACACACTGACACTACGACCAATTTAGTTCATCCAATTCACCTACAGCACATGTCTTTAGAGCACCCGGAGGACAACCACGCGAACATGTTGAGAACATGCAAACTCCACACAGAAATGCCAACTGACCCAGTCCTGACTTGAACCTGAGGCCTTCTTTCTGTGAGCCACCTTGTTGCCACTTTCCAACACAACCTAAAATAAACCAAATATCAATGTCATCTGACGTCGTTGTCGGACGTCAAAATAACGTTGTTCTTAGATGCTGGCTAGACATTGAATTTTGGTCACCTGACATCACGATCTAAATCTAACCTAATATTAATGTCTCATGACATTGTGTGCCTGCTGGGATGTTTACTGGATTGTTACCATGATGGTGTTTAGTAGTTGTGTGAATGACACTAAACAACTTTTCCCACAAGAAGAGAAGCATGCAAATATATAGAAGGTGCTCAGTGACATTCAGAAAACTACTAAACACCATCATGGTAACACAGACTTCATGGTTATTGTCTTTGTAACAAAAACTAATTTGTGCAGATGTTAATACTTCAAAACATTGGTGTTTGACTATAAATAAATGAAATACATCTACAGAAAAACGTAAAAATTATCACTGTTTCACTGAAGAATGAATGATAAGTGACGTTACAGCAAAACTCCACCTGTTAATATCAGTTGTGTATATATGCTGGAGTCAGGAAATGTATGTTGGTTGCGAACCTCTTGAATGTAGTTCTTGTATTGCTTTGGGGTTACGTAACCCAGAGCTCTGTCATGGAATTATTCATTTGTCTCTATTAAATTACTAATATTTTTGGCATTGAAGAAAACCCTCTCTAGACCTTTACTTATTGAACACGCATAGAATTGTCTTGATAATCCAACACTACTTTAATTTTAATAAATTATTTTTTAAAGATAATAAAATAAATTAACAAGTAACTCGCATTACATTTTCAATAAAGTAACTCAAATATTAGATTAGATTCAACTTTATTGTCATTACACATGTACAAGTACAATGCAACGAAATGCAGTTTAGGTCTAACCAGCAGTGCAATAGCAGCAAGTGCAGGATACAGGAATAAGTTATAAAGTGCAGTTATAGAAAACTATGGTGATATTTACAGATGGACGTACTATGAACATTATATACAGGTTGGATAAGCTATGAACAGATTTACAATATACAGTATGAATATATGTGCAGGTTGCTAATAATAATCAGTAGTGTGCAGATAGATAAACATGATTACAAGTGTATATGTTACAATATATATATATATTTACAGGTTGCTATTAATAATCAGTAGTATGCAGATAAATAAGCATGATTACAAGTGTATATGTATAGTGGGTGTGTACATAATTACAAATGCCCATATGCAGTGTGTCACCGACTCGGTCCCAGTCATTCCCCTCGCTGGCCAGCAGAGGTCACCATCTCCGGACTTCTAACCATTACGTCATCCATTCACCTGATCCCAGCACACCTGTTCTCCATTCCACTAATGACCCACGTACCACATATAAGCAGCTCACACACACACTTCAGTGCGAAGTCTTGTTTAGCCCCGGCCAGCATTTCTGAGCGTTCTATCCTGCCTGATCTCCCGTTTACCACTTCAGCCTGTTTCACGACTCTGCTCTGTCTTCAGCCTGCCCTCGACCAAAGCCTGTTTCCTCGGACTCTGATTCTCGCTGCA